AGGCCAAACGGCCGAGGAGTAATGGCCGAGTGGGAGCATGAAGGATGGCGGCGGGAGGCTGGTGGCCGGCGTGGGGATGGGGGAAAAAGTTGGGAGATGGGGGGGGGCCCGGCTGCCATCGGCCGAGGGTGGGAGCGGTGGAGGGGAGACAAAATGGCGGAGGAGGCCGAAGCCTGAGGCCTGCTCCCGTAGCCATGGCAACGGAGCCCGAGGCCTACTCCCGTTGCCACGGCGACGAAGCCCTCGGCTCACCGTGGGGAGGGCCGCGCCGCCTCTTGGCTGCACTGTACTGCGACAAACGACAATAAAAGGTGATGGCGGCTGCTGTGAGCCTGGCTGGTGACACCGGGGGCGGGGGGGGAACTGGAGGCGAAAAGGCGGGTTTATAGATATATTTTTTTTAAGTTACGGTACAGCGGGATCGCGCATGCGCGGACGCCGGGCGGGGGGGCGGCGAATGCGTGGAGCGCTGCGGTAGAGCGCGAGCGCGCCGCGAGGGCGGGGCGAGAGGACGAAGCGGGCGGGGCGCATGCGTAGAGTGAGAGGGGCGGTGCTCTACAACCACGCATGCGCAGAGCGCTGGGAGCCGTGGTGGGGGATTGGCTGCGGACGGCAGTACGGCGGCCGCGGAGGGAAGGCGGAAGTAGGGGACGATCATGGCGGCGGCGGCGGCGCTGGAGCGGTGGGTATCCGGGGAGCTACAGGCTCTGCTGGGGCTGAGCGGGCGGCACGTCCCCGCCTTCCTGGTGGCGTTGGCGCGGCGGAGCCGTAGCGTGGAGGAGCTGCTGGAGCGGCTGCGGGAAACGGAGGCGCTGCGAGTGGAGGAGCCGCGCGTGCGCGCCTTCGCGCGGGAGCTGTGGGACAAGGTGGGCGGGGCTTCCCCTCCGGGGCGGGGCTCCGAGGGGAGTGGGCGGGGCTTCCCCGTTCGACTTTAGTGGGAGGGGAAACTTTGCGGGGGGGATGTGGCCTGCTGGTAGGTGAGGGCGGGGCTTATCACGGAGTGGCTTAGGCGGGAAGGGGCGTGGCTGCCTCAGAGGGGGCGGGGCTTCTAAGGTAGTGTGAGGGAGGAGCCTAGTAATCCTACATGTGGGTAGGGGCGTGTCTTGTGGGGTGTGTGGCTTTAAGGTGAGAAGGTGGGGCTTGGGGAGGCGGGGTCAGGCAGAGGGGGCGTGGTTTGCATGCCTGAGCACCACCAGGGAAGCCGTGTCCGATGAAGGGGCATTGGGTGCAGGTGGGCGTGGTCAGGTCGAGGGGTGGGTGGGGCCAGACACAGGGGCGTGGCTAACCGCAGAGGAGGCGTGTCTTGATGCTGTCCCCGCCCCCAGGTCCCCCGGGAGGCACCACGGGAACCCCCGGGCCGAGCGGCTGAGCGGGCGGCGCGGGAGCTGCAGCGCCGCAGCCAGGGCTACCGATTGGTCGATAGCGATGATGAGGGGGCGGGCCCCGCCCCCAGCTCCGCCCCTTCCCATGGCTCCACCCCCGGCATGGCCGACGCTTCCCACCGCCGCCGCCGACACCTCCGACGACGACGCTCCGAGTCGCCCGAGGCCTCCAGCCCCTCGCCGCCAACGCCCCTGTGAGTAGCCCCCGTTCTTGGGGTCCCCCCCATTATCGGGGTGTCCCCCCCCTGTTATGGAGGTCTCGGGGTTTCCTCCTGCCCCTCAGGGTCCCCCTGATTCTTGGGGTTCCCCCCCGATTATGGGGGTCTTGGGGTTTCCTCCTGCCCCTCAGGGTCCCCCTGATTCTTGGGGTTCCTCCCCACGATTATGGGGGTCTCGGGGTTTCCTCCTGCCTCCTGGAATGTCACCACAGGTACTCAAGGTCCCCCTGGATATTGGGGTCTCCTCCAGGCTTTTGGGAGTCTCCCGGGGGTCTCAAGGTCCCCTCCTGACTCTTGGGGTCCCCCTGAGCTTTTGGGATCCCTCTGGGTGCTGAGTCCCCCCTGGAGGTTCACACTCTCAAGATCATTTAAAAAACCTTAGGGCCCCCCAAATTATTAAGATCTATGGGTTTTGGGGTTCCCCCATGTGATCTCCCCCCCTCCCCCCCCCCCAAACCAGGGCTCCAGAGCCCCCTGAAGAGCCGGAAGCGGAATGGGAAGCATCGGAGCGGGAACGGCTGCGGGACCTGGAAGAACGCGATGCCTTCGCCGAGCGTCTGCGCCGCCGCGACCGTGACCGCACGCGCACTGTCCTCGCCCGCCCCGATGCCAAGGTGATGGAGGGGTCGCAACGCCTTTTGGAGGGGTCCCAGGGGCGATTTGAGGGGATCCAGCTGTGTTTGGGGGGCCCTGCTGAGCTTCTGGGGGTCTTTGGATGGAATTGGGAGTCCCTGGGTGGAATTGGCTTCCCTGGGTGGGATTTAGAGAGGTTGAGTGGGAATTGGGGTGCCAGAGGGAAATCTGGGGGGCCCTCCCAGGTTCCTGGGGGTCCTTGAGTAGGATTTTGGGGTATCCATGACTTAGATTTGGGTACCCTTGATGGAATTTAGGGGGGTTGAGTGGGAATTGGGGTCCCTGGTTGGGACTTGGGGGTGACAGTCAGGATGAGGGGGGTTCTGCCATGCTTTTGGGGGTCCTTGGGTGGGATTTGGGATCCCTGGGTGGGAATGGGGGGAGATCCTGGAGAGGGTTTGGGGTTCCTGGGTGGAATTGAGGGTCTCTGGATAGGTCCCTGGGGTGGGGGTGTGTTGTCTGGCTCCTGGGTGTCCCTGGGTTTGATTCAGGGGTCCTAACTGGGATTGGTGGGGGTGCTGGGTGGGACTGGGGGGTCACACCCAGGATGGGGGGGATCCTGCCAGTTTCCTTGGGGTCCCTGTGTTTGATTTAGCGGTCCCACCTGGGATTGGGTGGATGCTGGGTGGGATTGGGGGGTCCTTAGGTGGAACTGGCGGGGGCTTTGTCTGACTCCTGGCTCAGTTTCAACATCCCTGGGTGGGATCGGGGAGATCTGGGGGTGCTGTAAAGGCCCCCCGACCTTCTCCATGCTCTGCAGCTAGAATGTGGGGTCCCCCTCCCCTCCTCACCCCTTTCTCCCCACCCCCAGGCCTATGAAGAAGCCCAGAAACGCCTCAAAGTCGCCGAAGAAGATCAAAAAACCATGGTGAGCTCCAGGATCTGGCCAACCTCACGCTGAGGGGGCATTCCACCGAACCCCAACACCCCTTCTTTCCTCCACCTCTGTGTGTGTGTGTCCCCATCCAGGTTCCGGAGCTACGGAAAAAGTCCCGCCGGGAATACCTAGCTAAACGGGAACGAGATAAATTAGAAGAACTGGAAGCGGAGATCGCTGACGAGGAATATCTTTTCGGGGAAGAGGCGCTGACGAGGGCGGAGCGGCGTGAGCTGGAGTACAAACGGCGCGTGCGGGATCTGGCCCGCGAGTACAAACGGGCCGGGGAGAAGGAGAAACTGGAGAAAAGTAACCGGTATTACATCCCTGAGGAAACACGGGGCAAGGTGAGGGGCCCCAAAACCCTGCCAGCACCCCAAACCCTTCCTCTAGACCCGCAAGATCCCTCCCATCACTGTCAAGGTTCCCTTCCCAAAGTTCCCCAGATCTTCCCTGTATCCCCCTCAGGGTCCCTTCCATCACCCCCAGGGCCCTCTCTAGCACCCCAAATTGTTTTTCTATTCTTTCAAAGTGTTTGTTATCACTGCTGAGGCCCTCTCCAGCACCCCAAATCCTCCCTCTATCCACCCAGAGTCCCTTCCACCACCCCCAGGATCTCCTTCAGCACCCTAAATCCTCTCTCAAGATCACTGCTGTCACTCCTGGGACCTCCTCCAGCACCCCAAATCCTTCCTCTATCCCCCCCAAATCCCTCCGATCACCTCCAGGAGCCTCTTCAACACCCCAAATCCTGTCTTTATCCCCCCCAAGATCGCTCTCATTGCTGCCAAGCTCCCCTCCACCACCCCAAAGCCTCTCTTTATCCCCCCAGGGGCTTTTCCATCACCCCCAGGACCCCCTTCAGCACCCCAAATCGTCCTTTTATCCCCCCAAAATCCCTCCCATCACCACCAAGACTCCCTCCAGTGCCTCAAATTCCACCCTCCATCTCCCCAAGGTCCCTCCTGCCACGGCAGGGGGTTTCGGGGGGACACCACCATGGTTTCACCGCTCTCACCACCTCCCCGTAGAAGATCCCAGAACGTGAGGAAGCAACGGGAGGGGAGGAAGAGCGGATGGCCCCCCGGGATGAGCAGCGGCGATGGGAAGAGGAACGGATAGGGGCGGCTTCCCTGAGGTTTGGGGCACGCGATGCCGCCCGCCGTCAGCCCTCCAAAGATTACGACTTTGTGCTGGAGGAAGATGAGATGATCCAGTTCGTCAGCGCCGTGCAGATGAAAGGCACTGAACCTGATAAGGTGAGGGGGCAGGGGGTTTGGGGGTGCTGGAGGGGGTCCTGGGGGCGATGGGAGGGATTTTGGGGGGATGGAAGGGGAATTTGGGGAGGTGGAGGGGATTCTAGGGGGGATGGTAGGGACCTTGGGGGTGACAAAGGGAGGATTTGGGTGCTGGAAGGGGTCCTGAAGATACTATAGGCACCATGCGGACAGTGGTGGGGGGCCCTGGGAGGACAATGGAGAACTTTGGGGACACTGGAGGTGACATGGGGACTGTGGGGGTGACACTGTCGGCACTCACAGGAGGCACCGGCGCCGGTGCCAGAAGCGGAGCGGCGGCGGCAGTCAGCGCAGGAGGTTCGCCGTAGCCTTCCCATCTTCCCTTACCGCGACGAGCTGGTGGCTGCCATCGCTCAGCACCAAATCCTGGTCATTGAGGGGGAGACCGGTTCTGGCAAGACCACCCAGATCCCCCAGTACCTGCACGAG